AAAGCTGGCGGTCGACCGACGGAATTTTTGGTCGATCGGAAAAGTATCTGGAGGTCTCTTGGTCGACCGGTGTGGTCGACCATGAGCAGCTCAGGAAAATACAACTGTCGGTCGACCGCACCGGTCGACCGAAAACTGATATGTTGCATATGATAGGTTTTTGGGGCTGTTTTGAAAATTCATAAAAAATATCAAATCAAATCCAAAAATAGTGAAACTTTGGGGAAAGTTTCTAAATGATGAAATAAACATGTTTGAAAAGGAATTTTTGGAAAATCAATTTTCGTTTGTGAAAACTCCATGTTTTTGAAAAGTGTTCAGAAAACCTGTTTTTCGTGAACATGAAAATTAACATGAAGCTTGTAAATATGTATATATATATTGAGCATGTATTATGTGTATATAATGAAGTATGAAAGAGCTGTAATTATGAGATAAAAAATATCTTAACAACGTTTGATGAAAAATCATTTATATGATAGAAAACGTCAAAAATCGTGTTAAGTGTACATATATTGAGCTTAGATATAATCATACAATATATGTAAGTAAACCAAACATATACCTAGGTAAATCCACACATATGAACTTGAATCTTTAACGCTTGACTGAGGTGTGTTGAAATACCTGAAAAGAGAAACATAAACACAAAACACTAGAGAACTTATTAGTAATAAATTGTTTGCCAAATCATCATCAAAACTATAGGGTCAACAATCTCTCCCTTTTTGATGATGGCAAACAATTTATACAAGAATATGAATTATAAACTGATAACCCACATATAAGCCAAACATAGATAAATCATACATGAAAGAGCACATAAATCATATATGAATATGAATAAATATAGGAGCTATATAAAACGAGTTATATGTGGATTGTGGATTTTTCTCCCCCTTTGACAACATCAAAAAGGAAAAATAAAAGATAGGAGCAATGCTCCCCCTGCTTATGAGCACAGATAAATAAATAAAAATGTATGCCAAAGGCTCCCCCTGTCGAATAGAATAAATGACACTAAAGAGTATGTAAAGGAGCTAAGCAAACTAAACAATCATAAACAGTACATAAAACAAAGAACTCATTATTAGCAGCTTATTTTCCACACACCAAAACATGAATATTGTTTCAACTATGCATTGATCATAGAAGAATTAAACTAAACACAATAAGTCACAAATCATCACATAAGCATTAGAAACTACATAGTTTTGCATAAACATAGATTGTTCCATAAGATAGCAGACCATACATAAAAGGTCACATGGTTCCATATTAATATAGAGTTATTACACTCAAATTAAAAACACAGATATCAAGTTTTACAACTCAAAATAGAAATATCACCATAAACATGAGAAACCATTAACCCCAATGGACACTAAAAATCAATCATCATCACCACCATCACCATCACCAGAAGCAGGGCCAGAGCCCGATCCATCAGCAGAATCAGATCCATCAGCAGAGCCCTCCTCAGAGCCAGACTCAGAACTGGAAGAGGGATCTGGGATCCCAATAGACTGACGCTGATAGGATAGAATAGTCCTAACGTCCCTCTGAATAGATGAGACTTGCTTCTGAACACTTGAGTACTGAGTCTCAAGGCGATCCAGACGGTCACAAATATCAGAAGAGGAAGAGGTGGAGGCTCTGGATCGAGAAGATGATGGCACAACGGGATCAGATAGGGAGCTCGAAAGTTGCATACGAGAGAGTGAGACCCTATCAAAGAAATCTTTCTTAGATTCAATCTTGGGTTCATTGGTGAGGTCAACATCGAAGTGTTGAAAGATGAGGGTGAGAAAGGAGCCAAATGGTAGAAATTTGGTATGCTTCGATGCCATATTATTGAGAAAAATTGTTGCCCAATCTACTTTTATTTTGGCAAATATGGCATATACGACATTTATCTTGTCAGAGGCAAAGTGATCGAAACTACCGGTTTTAGGAATCAAGTTTTGAGTAACGATTCTAGCAATGAGTTTGGCATTTGGATTGAGAGAATTGTTGTTCATAGGATAAGAGAAACCGGGTTTAAACATGAGTTGGTTTATAGCTGGATCACCAAGCTCAACAGACATGAGATTAACGTCACCTGTTGGGATTTTAAGAATCCCCGCAAGTTCGTTGGCAGAAAAGGATATTGCAACATTTTTAACAGATGAAGTAATGGTCAGACTACCATCAGCAGAGGATGATGTGGACAGGTTGGCATAAAACAGATAAACTAAAAAAGGATAAAAAGGAACTTTATGTTCCTCATCTAGCAATCTATCTAACCCAACATTACGAAGGATAGACTGAGTGTCATACATGATTAACAGAAGATATTTGATATATCTAGTTGGAAGAATTTTCAGTTTGCATAATTCTCTATATTTTTTTAACAAGAGATTTAAACAACAGAAAATCCTCATAATGAGAAGCTTTTGTAGAGGATGAACTAGACTCAGGTTTAGATCTCTTTTTAGGAGGCATAATAGA